GCGAGATTGCCAAAGGCTCAGAGTAGAAGACGAAGTAACAAAGTGGTAGAAGTAGCTTCTGCCAAACAAAGGAAAGTGCTAGAAGAATAGAAGTTCCTCTAGTGATTCCAGTAGCACTATTAATAGATATTACCAGTAAGTACCTGCCAAAATAATGGAAAAGGGCTGATTAAAGAAGATAGCAATGCATTACTACAAACTTTATGAAAATTACAAGTGAGAAAACTAAATAAAATAGACAAGTTCCACAAAGCCATAATTATTATAATAAGCTTAAGAAAAAAATAGGACATTTAAATATTCCTAAATATACCTAGTGGGGTGTTTTCCAAAACCAATAAACAAGTATTCAATTCTCTGGACACCAAATGATGTTCAAAAATTCAATTTAAGTTTACCATTGTCAAACTCCACAGACTTACATATGCCCACTTAAGACACCAGTTTTAAACCCAGGACCACTGTAGACTAACAGACTGGCCATAAATTGGTTTTCTACTACTCCTCAAATCCAGTCATTTGCTAGAACAGTCATAACACAACCCAAGAAAATAAACAGCTTTGCTGATTTACTGAAAAATACAACTACAGGGCAGCCAAATGAAGGAGACCCATAAGATAAAGTATTGCAGGCCTGGGATTGGCACAGGGTTTTCATTCTTGTTTCTGGGCATTTTGCTTTCCCAGGCAGTCCTCCTGGAAGTTTTCCAAGAAAATCCAGCAATCTTTACAAAACTGGAAGCTTTCAAGGTTCCATTTTTTAAGAGTTTTTATAGAGCTCAAATTCTAATCTTCTAATCCCAAAGGTCAACGAGGGGGTGAAAATACTAGCACTCTAATTACTTGGTCCTTTGGTAACTAACCCCATCTAATGACTCTCTAGAAGTCCCAACCAACTTATTAACATAAATTCAGAGGAGCCCACCAATGGAGAAGACAGAGGCAGGAAAATTATCATATCTGAAGCCGGTTAGGATAAGGAAGACCCTGTCTCGAAATTACAAGTAACTCTTATGAATATGAATCTAAAATACTAGCAATTGGAATCTAGTATCATTTTTAAAAAAGCATTATACAGACCTAGCGGGATAAAAGACTAAGCTTAACTGCGTTCACTTCCCCTGATTTATTTGTGGAAGCCTTTGCCTACAACCCCCTCTATCAACAGGCCCATCTTTCAATGACTGTCCTTTAAATATTTAAGTTAAAAAGCTATTAAGCATTCCTTTATCCAATCAGTGTCCTTACAAAGAAAAAACAGGAATGCGCCCACACAGAAAAAGACCTGCTAACACAGCAAGATAGCTATCTGCAAATCAAGAAACCTTATGAAAAATCTGACACCTTAAACCTGAATTTTTTTGCTTTAAGAAAATACACTTATGAGGAATTTTGTTGTGAAATAACCAACAAAATAATAAATCCCAAATTAATTAATGTACATCTGAAGAATATAATAAAAATCAAAAGCCACATATTCATGTAAATGGAAGTAGAAATACAGTCAAAAACTAACACCCATTCATGATTAAAAATATACAACAATAAAGAAAAACTCTATTAATATGTAATGGCAAAAGACTGGACACTTCCCTTCTAATATTAAATTAGGAAAAAAAATATTCTTGAACTTCTATCAACATTGTTTTGGAAATTCTAGGCAAATAGATGAAAAATAATCAAGTAGACAAAAGTGAAATTTTAAAAAATCTAGATTTGAAAGAATGATGTAAATACATTGGACGATTAAAAAAATCTTACATACAGAAGAACATAAAGAATCCACTAAATTTCTTATCATAAACAATAACCAATAAACAAGTTCAGAAAGAATAAGAGGTAAATATTTTAAAAATCTAGGGTATTAGATGAAATGAGATATAGGCATGAATAGTGGTAATGGCTATATAACATAATAAATAATTTAAAAGTATTAAACTGTGCAACTGAAAATGGTTAAAATGGGATCTGGGAATGTAGTTCAGTGAAAAACTACTTGCCTAACATACAGGAGGTCCTATGTTCAATTCCAAATAGAAAAAGAATACACACACACACACCAAAAAAAAAAAGGTTAAGATGGCAAATTGTTACTTGAATTTACTACAATTAAAAAAACAAAACATAAAAAATACATGTCTATGCATTAGCAATAGATGAATTTCAACATCAAAACTAACCAAGTAATTTTACTTAAAACAAACACTGGAAACAACCCAAATCCCACCCTCCTAAAAGTACAAAAACATATGCACCACACGTCTTTTTTTAAGAAAAATCTTAAATAAAAGATCTAAATAACTAGTATGGCAATATGTAAATCAATGGATGTGTAATTGATGTGATTCTGCAATCTGTATATGGGGTAAAAATGGGAGTTCATAACCCACTTGAAGCAAAGTGTGAAAGATGATATATCAAGAACTATGTAATGTTTTGAACAACCAACAGTAAAAAAAAAAGTGGCGACAAAAAATAAATAAATAAATAAAAAATAAAATTTTCTTTTCTTTTCAAAAAAAAAAAAAAGGATCTAAATAGTTGGAAAATATTCTATCTTCATGGATGAGAAAGCAACACTGTTTTAAATGACAATACTAATTGACCTAACAGATTAAACACAATAATCCCTGATTCCCGTGACAAAAATATTTTAAAATTTATAAGTAATTGCCAGGATTCAAAGGAAATCTTGAAAACAGAACAAAAGTGAATAAATACTCATGACTATGCATTTGTAAAGAAGTCTTATATATTACTGCAAATAATCAACAAAATAATAATGAACAAAAACAAAAATAGGTAAATCAAACATATCCAAATAAAAAACATTGTATTTTGAAGAAAACTATCAAGAAAATGAAACCAAATCACAGAATGGGAAAAGACATTTACAAATCAAAACATGTGCAAAAGACTATCAAATGATATCTTCTAATTCAATACTAAACACATTTTATATAGGCAATGGAATAGCAGTTTTTCCAAAGAAAACATACTAATAACCAAAAGGCAAATTAAGAATGCAGTGTATTGCACAAACAAAAAACTCCATGACATTACTGTTAATCAAGAAAATACAATCAGAATCACAATGGGTTTATAACTTCACACCCACAAAGCAACCAGGATGAAAGTAATAAAAAATGCTAAAAAACACAAAAAGAAATCAGTGTTCTCAAAACTTCTGGAGTGTAAATAGTACACTTAAGGAGTGTAACATAGTATACTTGCTTTGAAAAGTCTGGTAATTCTTCAAACAATGAAAAGTACCTACCATATGCCCAGGCAATTTGTTTTTTTAAAAAGTAAAAACAATCCGAATTTCCTTCAACGAGTGAATAAACAAGTAGTATGTCCATTCAATGAAATATTAGGTCATTAAAAGAAAATGCAAATTACTAAAATTAGGTCAATAATGAAATGATGACAGTCAATAACATCAAAGGGAGAGTGAAAGAATAAAATAAACAATTATACCAAATAATTCACAATTTTTCATGAAATAGACACATTTTTGGAAGATACTAAACAAATTCAAACATTTCCAAAAAAGAACAGAAAATGATGGAGAGAGCTAGGAAGGAAAGAAAGAAGAATAAACACAAATTACCAGGCTTAGTTAATACCTTCTTGAATGAAATAATACTATATTCTACAAGCTCATTCAAAATATTGAAAAGGAAAGTATGGCTCAATTCATATTAATTACCAAGTCAGTGTAATTCTCATACCAAAATAAACTAAGATGATAAAAATGGCAAACTATAGACTAATATTTCAAAAATAAGATACGCACTCAAAACAATATACACTAAGGTTTATTCCAGGAATGAAACACTAGATTAAAATTAATAGACTCAATTGAAATTAATTTTTAATACATCATGGTATATTAAAAACTCAAAATAGCAAAAAGCAAACAATCTAAATTCAGCCAATAATTTTTTTTAAAATTTACCAACAAGATTACTGATCCTTCTTCCAATATTTAACTTTCTGTATTCTAGTTGTTTTGGGTTTACTTTTTCGAACCCAGGGGCACTTAACCACTGAGCTACATCTTCAATCCTTTTAACTTTTTAAGATACGGTCTTGCTAAATTGCTGAAGATGTCTTTGAACTTATGCCCATGTCTCCTGGGTGACTAGAATTACAGGCATGTGCCACCTTGTTAATGAAAGGATAGACTTGTATATTTGGTTTCTGCATCCAAACTGAACCAACCAACAGATTGAAGATACTTAAAAAAAAAAAAGTTGCAAACATACCAAACACAATTTTATTATGATCATTATTCCCTAAACACAACAAAAATGACTATTTACAAATGCATTCACATTGTAGTAGTAAACAAGAGATGATTTAAAAATATATAGATGGGGATACACTGGCTATATGGAAACCACATGGTGTATCATAAAAGTGAACATTCTCAGATTTTGCTGCATATGAGTATGGCAAGGGTGTGTTTACCAGAACCAATTCTTTGAAGATCCGGGGGTAAACTATAATTCAAATACTACATGTAGATTCAGTCTTCCATTTACAAAGGTACATTTTTAGGAAGAAGATGTTTATAAGATTCCAACCTTTGGACAACTTAAGAATAATTAATATATTTTTACAAACCACAGGTATGGAAACAGCCATGCTGTAGATTTTTTTTTTTTTTAAAGAACAGAAGAGTTAACTAGACTTTAGGTACACCGAGAATATAACAAGCATTTTTAAAATATCTTAATTACTTAATGTGGACAGAGGAAGGTTAAATACTTCGCATCTCTGCAGTTACACCTCCCAGATAAAAAAAATCTGTAATATTTGAAATTTATGTATTTATTAACATTTAAACACAAAATGAAATGGTCTTATTTAGTAAAATATTATCTTACATACTAAGAATTCAAATAATTCTTTACTACTGCCAATATTATCAACAGTGACATTCTTTACCTGTTATTTATTTTTTACTTCTGAGTTAAAATTCAGTCAGTTACCTGTTAGCTTCAGCTGCCTTGCTTCCTTCCACCTCAGCCTTAAACACTGGTTATTCCTACACCAGAAGCTGGTCACTAATGACAAAAGAGGAATTATATTCCAAAGCAAGTTTTTACATTTGCAAAAGGAATAAATATATTTAAAAATATGCCCATATTTTAAAATCACTTCCTTCCAAACAACATCATTCCTTAAGACTTGGAATGCTATCTAGTCATAAGTAAATCAGAGAATAATTTTATTCTCTAGTACCCCATAAACTTCAATTCTATGAGTTTTTATATTTTTGTTGCTGCTGTTCCAGTACTGGCGATAGAAACTAGGGCACTCTAACACTGAGCTATATAACAAACTCCAGAATTAAGTTCTATATAAAAACCATTTGTTATTAGATATAGAGGAAAGAATATTTTTAAAGGCTCTACCTGTTCATCTCCAGTTTACTGTAATCTAAAAAGAACAAGTAAAAATTAAGTAATTAATATATTGGGGAAAAATGATTTTATTGTAGTCCAAGTACTACGTAAAATATAGTATAAAATGTGGTAGCAAATCTGTAGGCATATTGCTGGCAAAGAACCAATAATACATCACAGGCTACTCCCCTGTTATGCTACAACAAAACTTCGTAAAATACTCTTTTATCCATTATATTACAGGCACATATGAATGTATATTTTCTCTTATCTTCTGCAGAAATAGAAGCCTGAAATGATATAATAGATGGTATGTAAAACTGACTGTAAAAAGGCCAAAGAATGAAAAAAATATACATATGTGCCAGGGAAATGCTAACTAAAATTGTGCTAGTGTAGATACATTCACAGCAGTAAGCTAATAGTAACCCAAAACATTAATATTGGATATTTATTTCATAAAGACATATTTTGTCAATTTATTTTTACAGCCTCAACATATGTAAAGACTAAGACACCCCCCACCAAAGAAAAAACAACACCACACCCCCGTCATAAAGGAATACTCTCAATAATAAAAACCACAGAAAAAAAGGAATGAAAAGCTTTTAAGAAGTACAAAACTCACTATTTAGATATAAACCAATACAGCCAACACTGGAAAAATGTTAACTTTATGGTTGAAGGTGATTGCTGAGGTTTGAACAATAGTTTTCTTACTAATGAGGTGAGGCAAACTTCCTATCTAATTTGGCTTCAATTTCTTCAATGTAAAATGTAGGAAATAAACCTGCGGGGTCTTTTAGACAAATCACTATACATAAGTAACTCAAAATCGTGCCAACCATAAAAAGTAAGTATTCACTTAACAGCAGACAGAGTATTTTCTGGGAAAGACTGGATTACATGAGTTTTTTTTATTAAAGTATAATTAATAAGTGAAAATAGTATTTGTGGTGTAAAATGAGGCTTTGATATAAGTGTACATAAAGTGATCCAATTATAAGCATTTTCTGTGTGTGTTTGTGTTAGTACAGAAAACTGAAACCAGAGGCCTTCCACCACTGAGCTATGTATGTTCCAGCCCTTTTTTATTTTATTTTTTTATTTTGAGACAACCATCTCAAACTTGTGATCATTCTGTTACAGCCTACTGAGTTGCTGGGATAGTCTTGCACCACCATGTTCATATTAAAAGAAAAGAATTCTTACTATGAATTTTATAGAAGAACTCTTGTGGCCGTGAAGCCTCTGAAATCAAAGGTCTGAATGCATTTGTCTGTCATCCTTAAGATTTTTCACAATATAATCAATATTATAAAATATTCCTATAACCCATTAAATCTATAATATCACAATCACAAGTTTTCTAAACAGTTATTACTGACTAGTTGGATAACCAATGAATTTTTAGGTTTAAAAATGGAATTAACAAAGCACTTGTAATACTGCTTATTTAAAAATATCAATATTTTGCCTTCTAATGGCTTTTTCCCCCAATTTCATTAATTTTAAATGGTTATGTGGAAAAAAAAACAACAAAAAACCCTACTTCCTTATTGCTAGCAGAAACATTCTAAGCATATCAATTTAATAAGATTATGACATTATACTAAGGTTAAACATGAACTTATTTAGAAGTATTTTGTGTAATAGTATTTCCAACAGGGAAGAACTGTTGGGGATTAGTAGTAATAAAAAAGGAAAAAACTGAGGGCATCAAGAAACAAGATGAATAAAGCTGTCATCAGCTCCCTGAAAGCAGACTTCCAGAAAGCTTGGCCAATGTAAATCAGATATCAGGCTCAAAAATTTTTTTTTTATTTGAGCCACTCTTATGGAGGTAAAAATAGAGCCAGTGTTCAAGAACACATCTTTTTAAATTTCTACTGGTCCTTGAATCCTGGCAATACTCAAACATGAATCATGAGAAATTAAGAAGAAAAACTTTATTTCAAGCAAATTTACTCATATGTGACACAGCAAAACCTGGCTGTACTACCCAATTTCATTTCAAAGCTGCATTGACATATAAATCTGAAAATGATTGGCAGTAATCAACTTCTACTAAAATATAGATTAAGTCCATTTACATGCCAATTTTTATATTTTATTAGAGACCCTGCTATTTAAGTGGCATATATTAAGATTTCCTAACAAAAATGAAAATAACCTGACAGCTTCTAAAGTAATGAGATGTGAAATAAATTTCCTAGTTTTTGCTTTAAAATGTACCCCTAGGTTGTTTAGAAAATTCTGGTTTCATCAAAACATAAATAATATGTTAAACAGTTAAATAATAACTGTTATTCTTCATTCATCATGTATTGTTGGCTTGATAGTCACTCCTCTTCTTATTTGACCCCAACCAATTAAACTGCAAAATGAAAATAAAAGAAATCATAAATCTTAAATCGATCCTATTAGCATTACCATCTAATCGTGACATAACTGTTTTTTGTTTTTTCTTTTTGTCTAATTCTAAATTTAAACTTGCACTTACAAAATCTTCTTGGAAAAGAAATATTCCCCCTATCTCCTTAGGTTCTTAGAGCATTACAGATGGGTCCTGTGAGCATAAAAAAGGAGAACGGCAAGTTTCTACAACATTTATGCCTAAAACAATATACCCACCGATTCAGAGTAGCAAAGAAAAATTCTGGACGTCTCCTTAGGGAACCACAGAAATACACCAAACACCTCAGCCCAATCTAATAAGGTATATCAATATTTATTCTTTTCTCTTGAAATATGCCAAGTGCTTTGACAACACCTAAAAAGGTTCTAATGATCTTACGGAAAAATAAAGAAATAGAAGATCATGTAGATCACAAAGAGATTATTCTTAATAGTAAAGGAACACCCTACCATCCTTGATACCATACTCTGCTCTTGTCCATGCTGGTCTGTTTTTAGTAAAATCAGGTATAGTTAAAAGCTATAATTCTAAAAACTAAGAAGAAAGTCAGAACTCGGAGACTTGAAGACTAAAGGACCTGGTTTCCCTAGTAGAAACACCAAATAAGCAATAGTATAATGACTAAAGTGGATCTGTGGGAAATCTATAAAGATCTCTAGTAAGAAGTAAATGATAAGCTAAGGAAAAAATACACCAAAAATAGGAAATTTCATGGCATTTTGTTCACCTTTGCACAACTACTTCCCAGAAACAATTCTGAGCAATGAAAGTCAATGAATTCCTAAAACCTTTCATAGGATGGAAGAAAAAGAGTCAAACTTCAAAGATTCTGGGCCTAGAGGTAAAGATTACAGAAACAGAAATCTACTACAACAGCTAAATCCAAAGCAGCAGCAAGGTCAGACTGTGGTGGAAAATAAAAATATTTAAAAAGGGACATATAGCTGGGTATGTGGTACATGCCTGCATTCCAACTACTTGGGAAGCTGGGACAGGACAAGGTCATGGTCACCCTTAGTAATATAAGGAGATACCTGTATCAAAAGAAAAAATAAAAAATAAAAAGCCAGCCACAAGAGGGCTGGCTGAAATTAATATCTCAGTGGTAGAACATTCACCCAGGATGCAATAGCCCTGTTTTGTATCCCTAGCACCACTATCAAAATTTTTAAAAAGTTGCCACATATGTGGTAAAATTAATTGGGAAAAAGCATACATACAAGCCCAAGAAAAACGATGTCTAAAAAGACCTTTAGTCTTCTTTTTGGTATGATTAATGAAGGTCATTCCAGGCATACAGTCTATGAAGATTAGCAAAGACAGTTGATTTTTCAAATGCCCACTTTATAAACATCTCAAGGAAAACCCATTCCAATGAATACAATACATCTCCAAAAACAAAACCCAAAGAACACAGGCATCACATGTAACCAAACACAAAATAAACTACAAAACAATATGTAATAAAATGTTAATATAAAAAGACAGACATTATGAAGAACTAGAAGATAATTCACAGATAAAAATATAATGGCTAAATTGAAATATTTACTACAGGTACTCAATGGTAAAAGTCAATGGAAAGAATCAACAACTTGAAACATTTGATATGAAATGATCAAAGAGCATAGATGGAAAAAAAAAGAGTAGAACTCATTTGAATAAAAAATGTTTTCAAATTCACCAAACATAAAGACATGGGCATACAAATTAAAAAAGGTCAAAGAATTCTACATGAAAGACTCAGATCCAGATCAAAACAAATGATTATCACTGCCTGTATTAATAAACAACATATTGAAAACAATAAGAAAAATACAATTCATCATCTAAAAGTGATCCTAAATAAGATTATCAGTGTATTTCTCAGAATAAACCAGAAGTAATAGTATATGATATGTATTAAAAGAAAACTAAGAATTCCATATCTGATAAAGTTGACATTCAAAAATGAAGAGATTAAATATTTCCCAGATAAAAACAGAAGAAAATTCATTAAACACTAGACCCGTCTTTCAAAAAATGCTTAATGGGAGTCCTTCAAACAAAAGACATCAGGATAACTTGAAGTCATATGAAATATGAATTCTCTAATAAAAGAACTTTTATGTAGTATAAAAGCCAATAAAATTAAGAGCTTGGTTTTTAAAAATTGTTTTCAGGGTTTGAAAATCCAAAGTATAATTATAAATTTATGTTAATAGATTACTGTATAAAAGATTTAAAATTAAAGCTATCAGTAAACACTAGGGTTTTGGGATCATACTGGTACATATCCACAAGGGAATGTAAATATATCAAAAGGATTAACAATAAAAAGACAACGAAATTAAAAATGAGAAAAAGAAAAATGAGAAAAAAGCTGGAAAATATTTTACAATATTTTAGTACTTTTAAAATTTCTTTGTAGTAAAACACTTAAAATCTCTGTATTAAAACACTCAAAAGAACTGTGTGAATGGATTATACTTTTTTTTAATAAAAGACTCACTTTAGATCTAAAAACACACAGATTATGGTTAAAATGGAAAGATTAGAAATGGGCATATCCAGAAAAAACATTGGTAACAAAACAGACTTTTAAAACACAAAACTATTTGCAAACATCAGAGATGGACTTTATCTAATTACAAAGCGTTAATTTATCAGAAAAACAAAACAATTACAAACATAATATGCAGCAAATAACCAAACATCACAGTTCTTAAATATATGATGGGATACTGTCAGAGACTTCCACAACTTTCAAAATGAACAGAAAAATCAGATAACTAAGAAAAGAGAAAACCCAAACAACATTAGACCAATAGACCTAATAGGCTTATTAAACACCCAACTGGATTACAGCATACTTATGAAACACTTCATATAGACCATGTATAAGGTCAAAAATCAGGTCTTAATAAATTTAAATTATCAAAATTAGATAAATTTCCAATTCTATTTTGTATTACATTGTAACAAAACAATTCAACAGAGAGGGTAACTAGAAAACTCACAAATACATAAAAAAATAACTTCTTAAAAAATGGATGAAAAAAGGAATTAACAAAAATTATGAGACAAGAGAAAAATTAAAACAATACCAAATACCAAAACTTATAGGCAACTTCTATTAAAAATGGTATATAGTTCTTTAAAAAATTAAAACCTAGCAATTCCACTCCTGGATGAATAGAGCAGAAGAATTTAGAGCATAATCTTGGAAGAAATATTTATACAATACATTTATAGCAGTACAATTTACAATAGCCTTAAAAGGAAGCATATGTAGTGTTTGTTGACACATAAATAGGCAAAATATATACAAATAATAAATTATTATTCAACTTTGAAAAGGAAAGAAATCCTGACCTATGCTACAGCATGGGTTAACCTTGAGGACACTATTCTAAAAGAAATAAGCCAACCATTAAAATATAAATACTGGGCTGGGGTTGTAGCTCATTGGTATAGTGCTTGCCCTGCTTATAGAAAGCACTGGGTTCAATTCTCAGAACCACATAAAAATAAAATAAAGGTATTATGTCCATTCACAACTAAAAAATATTAAATATATATATTTTCACACACACATACACACATACACATATATATACACACCATATATGCTACATGACTTACAGGAAGTAATCAGTATGCTCAAATTAATATACCGACAATGGGGTTGCCAGATGGGGAAAGTAAAGTGATTGTTTAATAACAGATTTGCACTTCTGAAAAATTTAAAAATATTTCTAAAAATAGATGACAAAGATGGAATACACAATAATATAAATAAAATTATTATCAATGAATAATTAAAAATGGTTTAAAAGATTGACATAGTACATATCCAAATATGTAGCTAAAAGTTAAGTCATAAGAACTGCTCAATAACATCAGAAACGTGTGTGTGTGAACATTATCAAAAACAAAGTCCCACAAGAAAATATGCTGATTTTTTGCAACTGAACAGTTGCAAATTCACAGACTTACCGCCAGTGTTTCTCAACTCTTTGGCTAAGGGCAATTTTTTCACACAGGATTAGTGAGAACTATTTTACCCAAATCAGCCTTAACTGCACTAACTCTTCCTCCCGTAGACAAGGATCCTATGTTTACCATAAGCACTTCATTCCTGGACAGCTTCTGTACCTAAAAAAAAGAAAGAAAGAAGAAAAAAAAAAAGTTATCATTATTATACTAGAAAAAGAAAATAATTCTGAACAAATTTCAGTATAATGAGATTTGAAGTACATGAATTGTACTGTATCAAAACAAAGCTTTCTGCAGAATTCAACTCAAAGATCTACTTGTAAAATAAGTTATTAAAGAATAAAGAATCTAAGCCTGGCACAATGACCCAAGTCTGTAAGTCCCAGCAGCTCAGGAGCCTGAGGCAGGAGAATTGTCAGTTCAAAGCCAGTCTCAGCAAAAGCAAGGTGCAAAGCAATTTAAAGAGACCCTATCTTTAATTAAAATACAAAATAGGGCTAGGGGTGGGGCTCAGAAATCAAGTGCCCCTGAGTTCAACCCCTAATAACCTCTCCCCAAAAAGAATAAAGAATCTAATAAAATTCTAAAGAAATCGTATGACAAAGGTTACAAATTTCTTGACATGATAAGAGTATTATTACAGTTAAGTGAGTTCTAGAGATTAATTTCAACTCATGTTAAAACTTTTTGAGACTATAAAATTGGTTAACACATAGGTAAAATATCATTTGCTATTTTAATAGCTTTGTTAACATGGACAACCTAATGCTTGAGTTCAGATCAATGTGTTTTTTTATCATTTTATTAGTTCTTTTTAGTTATATCTAATTTTAGGATTCATTTGATACTATAAAAGATGAAACATTATTTTTCTAATTCAATCTCTAGTTCTCCTTCCCTCTTTCCTCACCCTTTCCCCTTCTCTCTATTCTACTGGTCTTTCTGCTATTTGCTTAGTTGTGTTTTGTTTTGTTTTTTAGGTAATCTCTATGGATTGAAGGATTTACTATAGTGTATGTAGACATGTACATAGAAAAGTTAGGTTGGATTCTCTCCACTGTTCTTCCTAGTCCAATCCCAACTCCTTTACCTCAAAATCCTCTCCATCAATTACACTGATTTTTTAAATTATACAAATTCCATAACTTCATTTTCTTTATAGCTGAGTAATATTTTTGTTGTGTACATATAATACATTTTCTTTATCCTCAGTTGTTGAAAAGCACCTAGGTTGATTTCATAATTTGTATTTTATAAATTTCACTGCTAAAAATAAACATTGATGTGACTGCTTCACTGTAATATGCAGATTTTAATCCTTTGCATATATACCCAAAGTGGGACAGCTGGGTCTTCTGGTGGTTCCATTCTTAGACTTTTGAGCAATTTCCACTTTCCAGAGAAGTGCACTAATAAGCAGAACCACCAACAATGTGTAAATGGACCTTTCCCCCCATATTCTCACCAATACTTCGTATTATTTGTGTCCTTAATAACTGATGAAATCTCAAGGTAGTTTTTGATTTTTAGTTTTGATAAATAAACTTTTTTCTCATAATTTGATTTTTCATAATTTTCATAATTAAAATCACTGAGTTCAATCTCCAGGACAAATAATCAAACCAAAATATACACAATAAAAATAAGTCTAGTAGAAACTGAGGAAACATTAAAAATATGTCCTTTTATTCCAGTGATATCAATTTCTTGCCTCATTGGATTTTTATAATTCTAATTTCCCCTTAACATGCAAAGAATTTAATAACCACATATGTATAGAATTTATATGACAAAGAGAAAAGTACATTCATTTTAAGGTTACCAACAGTGGCAAAAAGATAAAGTTTTAAGTATCTGGCAAATGTCGGTATGATCAAGGGGGAAAAAAGATAATGAAACTTAATAATAGTAATGAGATAGAAGGGAGACTTACTTTAAAAGTTTGGGTGCTGAATATATATAAGTCAATGGGTAGAATAATTTTCTAGCATTCCTGATACCTAACACGTCAAGGAATAAAAAAGGTCTAATATTAAAAAAAAAGGAAATACAGAAT